TTACGGTTGATCCCGTGATAGTACAGTATATCTCCCGTACTTAGGTGCCCTGACGTGTAAGTATGAGACCCATAAATAAGGAAAAAGACTCAATACAATTGAAGAGAGCAAGCAATAACGACTTTACCTTTGTTAGATTTATGTTCGTTAGATTTTAGACTGATTATCCCTGTTAAACATTAGTTCTCACAAGAATGTTTGAAAATCTGTTGTTTGTCTTGTTTCACAAGAATGTCTCACAAGGAGGAGGTTTGCTGTTTTTCCCCAAAAAATAATTATACATAATAGAAAATATTTGCTTTATCAATTTAAGAAACTGAAATTATATTTTGACAATTGAAGCAAAGACAGCAACCATAAAATCAGAAGGGTCAAACTGATTTTCTATGCATGTGCTCAAGGAGCTGTACAGACTGACAGGTTCAGGTCATGTGATAGCAGTTCTCCCCTCTTATATTATTTTGCTTTGAACTATGTTATGTTATAAGGTCCCACGTTATTTTCAAACGTGTATATATCTGCACGCAATGTTGTATTGCTTCATTTGAAAGTGCTTACAGGGCTGATTAGAGTATTTTGTATAGTGTTTTTCTGATTTGGGAAAAAGTATAATAAAAGTGAAAAAATACATAGCTTTGTGACGTCATCTGGTGGCGTTTCCCATTTAAACTCAGGTATTTCAGCAAATTACGTTATTTTGTCATGATATCTCCTCCAATAATTATTCAATTTATGAACTACAGGTATCCTCGTGTTCAGTTCTCTTAGTATGGTTTCCGTTTAAACACAAAATTCATCCAATTTCAGACGCCTGCAAATTCTCAAATGCATGGACCGTATCCATAGTTGGTATGTTGGAGTTTTTTTTAGCCAACGTGCGTTAAATTCAGCATAAAGCTGATACCTCACCACACAGGAAAAAAGCTCACACGAAAGCACAATTTTCCCTCAAAGAGATACGCTGTTTGGGGCAACACTAGTAACAACCATTCAGGGAGGCAACTGCAGACGCGTTTCGGCCTTGTTTGGCCTAGAGTATCTGCAGATCGCTTCATGGAGGGCCCAAAAGTACAATCACCCCTCTAACCAACTTCTAACGCCCAAAATTTCACTGCCAGTCTGCAGATTCCAATTCTAACCAAGACAAGATGACTAAGAATGTACATAAATGAGCGTTTTTCCGCAAAAACGAGTAAAATGCAAAAACTAAGTCAAACTCAGTACGTGCCTCATAAACGATGTTTTGTAACAATTGTATTAGTAAATCGCTCTGGATATTGAAATTCATAGGTTGGCTGCATTTCTGGGCATCGGTGAAGGCCTGATGGATTGTCGTAGTTTCACATCTGTCTATACTCTCGCTGCACAGGTACTCTAGTTGGGCCAATCCTTAGAGCAGCGCGGCCTGGGGGTGGCACACAGTTGGCACTGTGATTAGTATTGACTAACTCAATATTTTTCCCAACTTCGCTCGTAAGATTTTTCCCTGGGACTAATCCCATGAAACGTCCCGTGGAGCTAAGTCATGACTTCAAATACGGCTAAGAATGCTGCCGTGATAGCGAAGAGAGCCGTAAGTGCAAAATTTTCAAAATCGAGTTTTCTTCAAAATTCGTCTAAACTCTTTTAGATGAAATTACTGAGACAGCTAAAACAGCAAAATTCATCCTAATCCAATGAAAACGAGACGTATGAAAAAGCCGCAAAGTGCAAAAAAAATGGCATAGTTTTTTTCAAGACAGCCGTAGGTGCATGGGAGCCAATGAAATCAGTGATTTCAAGAGGAATGCCGCTCTCATCTGCCGATTTCTAACCTGAAAATGTGTTTGTTGTGTGTCCAACACGTTACCACAAAAGCACGCAGAAGATAGCACTTACGGCTGTCTTGCCTAACAATAACCTAGCATGAACATGAAAAATACCCTTTTTATGTAATGAAAATAAAATCGGTCGATTTTTAATCATCCATGCGATTTCTAAGAGTCTTCCGGACGATTAGTGGCAATTTGACAAAGAACAGAGGCTTCTTTCAATAAAATGTTCTGGTCAGAAGCTTCTGAGCCCGTTTCCTCAGAACTTCATTTTTGCACTTACGGCTCTCTTCGCTATCACGGCAGAATGTTTGACCGACATTTTTGCGGAGGAACCGCCTGATATCCGGCAACCGTGGTATTCGGGTGGCGCATAAATCCTCCACCCCTGCCGCCCGCCGCGCTGCTGCGGACCCGCGAAAGCTGCCCGCTGTCAATTGCGCTTGGCCGGCAACTTTCGTGCGGGACCCGGGTCCATCGGCCCGGTTTATGACCGACTAATTTCGTTTTATACCTCCAGCAGCTGCCACCTAATCATCGTTTGGTGCGTCCAAGCTCCTGCCCTTACAACACGCTTCGGTCCTCCTCCGCGAAAAAAACGAACCGCAACGCCCTCATCTGCGTCAAAAATATCGTAAATCATTTTTTACGACCGCTGAGTTTCCGGGGATTCGAAGGAATAAACAAATATCGTCGAGGTTGGGGTGGATTAAGGGTTGTGGTCGGTAGATTCACCCTTGCACCTGATTTCTGGTAGCATCACGGATAGTGTGCATGGTGACCGGAAAAGTTGTGGTTATTGGTATACGTACGGAGAGGGCGATCTCCAGTGTAAATGGGTTTATGTTGTTCAATGAAGTAACATCATTTTGGACAACATGGACCAAAATATAGATTGAGGAATGCAGCAACGCGTTATGTGGTAGCTCATCAAAAGCTTTTTCACAACACAACGAAATTATCGAACATTTTCAAAATAAATTCTCATGCAGAAAATTAGGGTTGTATACTTCGCAGGCAATTTGTCAAAGTAGGCATTGCATAAAATGCCTAGGCAGATAGTCTTTACAGTTTCCGACATTCTGTCAATACATTACAAAGAGCTTCTATGCATTTTCAATAATTCGGAGGGAATTGATAATCAAATCCACAACCTCTCCTCGTTCTTTTCTCTCCAAACGCTCATATATTTGAACGTTAAAATTTTAAAAATTCTGTGTTTTACGGCATGCTGCAAATTTCAAGATAATGTTTCTTTTGGAACTAAAAATTGCGTAAAACATCTTTCCACGCGATGCACACTTTACAGAGAATTCTTTCTTGCGGTAGCAATGGACCGTTTTGTCTAAAATTAGAAAAATAATCAGAATTTCAATCTAAGTGTGAACATTTGATTTATTTGCCGAGGCATCTGACAAAATGCCTGATTTGACTATTCGCCTGCCACATATATTCGGATGGAGCAATTACTTGGCGGCCGAATTCACACTTTGGTGAGTTGGTGACAATGATACATGGGAGCTTTTAAGACCTCACTGGCTGAGCCATAACTTCGGTCGAAGCTCACCCAGTCATACAGAGTATAGATCTTACTGTTTTGCATACCCGCGAAGCGTGCCCACCGCAAATGCGCCCCATCTCGGATGACCAGGCAACCCGCAAAGCCCACGATTTATGATTCTCCCGATTCGCCTTTTGATTATGAGTTATAGTATATAAATACTCTCAGCTTAAGTGGCGGTGGGGCACCATTGTTTCAAATGTAAATTGCATACAAAAGTATCGGGTATGTTTTGAGATAATGTTCTACGTTTAAAATGTATGTTCATTGCATTGACTATTGTCTTCAATAGAAAAAAAAGTATCTTAGGTCAAAAGTTCAGGCTCTTGGAAAAGTTGTCACGAAAAACTACTGTTGCTTCAATCGTATCTTTGCTTGAATGGAGAACCAGGCCTCTTAATTTAAGCGGATTTCTTTTTGCCTCAAGAAAAAATCCGATTGAATCAATAGTATTTTTTCTTTGCCAAATTTTTTAAGAGTCTGTACTCCGGACCCAAGAGGCAGATTTCTAGTATTAGGTCCAAGTAAATTTCTTAATATTAACTGATACAAATACGAATTAGATCGGCGGTGACGATCTCATCTTTCATGGGTCTACGGTTGTTATTTACCAACCCATTCTAGTCCACTTCGAGTCTAAGATGGACTCCAATCGACCTCGCCCAATCAGGATACTCGATAATGATGATGATGACAGACACGTGCGCCCGAAATTCTCACCAATGTCCCAAACGAGCGGCCGGTTACAATCGTGGAAGCTTTTTACCCAAATCCTGGAATACGCCGGCCCAATTTTCCCTCGGAAAAAGTCATTACTCTCGGCGGCAATTTCCTGCTCGTCCGCTCGTGGCTATTGTCGGCCGATAAAAGCGGTGACACGTTCGAACAATCGCGATCGCCTCGCGGAGTCCCCCGAAATCGGCTTGACCCATTCTGCCCCTGCCTTGATAAATGATGCAACCCACTTCGTCGCCCCACCCGAATAATGCGCTCTCCAATATTGTTTGTATTGGATATTTTAATCGCGTGTTTATTTCGCTCGGGCATTCTTTATTTATCCTCTATCTTAATCGATTTAACAGCGTTTATAGGGAAGTTATCATTAATCTGGAGCAATCATTAGCGTTTTTATAAATGATGCCCGTCCTCAGCGTCCGTTTCCGCGCGCGGGACTCCTGAGTGACCTATTCACCACGACGAGGGTGGCGCTGGTCAATTATGTGTCCTGTCATTGTGTTGCCAAAGGGAACTTACCTTATTATAAATATTTATTTTGCAATTTCGAGAACTTTGTCTGTCAACAACTTTGAACTAACTTACAATGGGTCTATTATCACTCTTTTAATGCTGAATGCCCTCCTCTAATGGTCCAGGTGTCGAATGAATGTGAGTGTGGAGGAATATCTCTCTGGGCAGGCGAGCTCCTGCACAAAAAATCATATTGGCGGATGGGGAATTTTGGAAGATCGCCGCGATGCCGCGGTGTGATAGCGACAATATTTCTCGTCCGAAAGCTCGTTGAGTTTGCGGTCATAATCAGTGGAACAAATTCGACTGCAATTTACATGCATTTCTTTTCAACTGAGTAAATTTTGTCGGAAGAAAGACAATATAAAAAGAAAAAAAAATATATCGAATAAACTGTAATCAAGTAAAAACAACAAAGAAATAAAACAAAGTTAAACAACATTTTTCTCTCTCTTCGTCTATTTTTTCATCAATGCAACGAATTTTTTTTTTTTGGTTTTCACCATGACTGTCCTTATTGCATTCCCAAAACGTAACGATACTTCAAGTTCTAAATTGTATTTTTATTTAATTTTATTTGTGCAGTTTTCGGAATCAATTCTTAATCGCTGACAGGCTGAGACTGTTTAACGAGTCTATAGAATGACTATGATTCACATACGAACATTTTTACAATATTACCACCTCTTTTAAAAATTGATATCTTGATACTCGTAAAAGGAAATATGAGACTGTAAAACAAGTATTTTAATTTCCAAATATTATAAAGTCAATCGTGGTTTTTTTTATCTCTGTCTCTATTATTTCTTCTTCTTCATTTTTTTCATTTTTGAATTGCACTTGTAGCATACACCACAGAGAAGCGAACCGATTCGCACAAACAACAACGGTCCAACAAAATTGTGATAATCGACAAACTGTCAGTCCATAACATACGTAGTTCACCTCCCTCGAACATCACCTGTCAAAAATCTAGAAGGCAGATTTCTGCCGAGGATGCTTGTCCTTCTTCTCATACTTATCTTCCTTATCCAAATCTTTCTTATGTGGGTATGCTCCCGTGCATTTCAAATAGTAGCACCTAGCTCCCGGCCTTAGCCAACTGAAAATCTCCTTGATTTCCTCGGTATCCTGCCTTTTCACCCTTTTCTCCTCGGACAAGCTATCACCATCCTCACCAGATTCCTTCCTATCATCAGTCTCAGCCCTTCCTTTCACAGGCGATTTATCTTCTTTCTCGTCATCTTCGCCATAATCGTCATCCTCCTTCACCTTATCCGTCTCCTTCAGGTCTTTCTCAGATTTCTCGGCGTCATCTTCTTCGTCAACCTCATCTTTATCGCTCCCTTCTTCCTTCACCCGAGGGTGTGCGTCCCTAGCCTCAGGATACGCGTCCTTAACCGTAGGATGTGCGTTCTTAACCCCATGATCTTCTTTAACATCCTCAGGGTTTGCTTTGCCGCCCTTGGGATCTATTTTACTGTCATCCGGTACATCAGCGCGTGCCTCTTCACCTGTTTCATGTTCATTCTCGTCATGGTCTCGACCATAGAATCTTGGACGCCCGGTAGCTGCCCTCCTGATCTGTGTCACCAACAGCGGAAGAGCGAGGGATCTGTCATCGTTTTCCGCGACCTTCGACTCCGAGTTGGCACCTCCTGATTCCAGGCTCCTCTCTGTATCGACGCCAAGCCTGGCCACACTCGACTCTTCTCCGGGAACCCTGTCCCTGCCCCGGTTCTTGATTTTCTTCACCGGGTTCAAATTTTTCAACCAGGAGCAGACGCTCTTCGCTAGGCCAGTTGCCCCTTCCGATCGTCTCCGCCTCCTGGCGATACCACTCTTGTCGTCTTCTTCGCTTCTCTCGTAGTCGATCTCGTTCTGCATGGTGTCTCGGTTTGCCGCCAGATGGAGCGGGTGTTCCTCCATGGACGCTTTCAAGAGAGCCTCGCACATCTTCCGGGTTCGTTTGTTTTGGAGGCCGCTGCACTCGCTTCGGATCGCGGCCACGAGGGGCGTCTCTATCTCTTCGTCCTCGATGTCCTCGAGTGAACTTTGGTCACCGTCGGAGACGTTGATGACCGTGTCGTTGCTAGGGTCGCTTTCGGTTATCGCTGAGCCTTTGGATTCAGCGTCTTCGATTTCCTTGGCATCGCCTTCATCTCCGCCGTTTCCTCTCAGTGGAGACGCCTCCGCTCCAGGGAACTGGGGAAAATAATGATACAGATTAGAACTAATTTAGAATTTACAGAAGACATTACAGAATTATTTATTTAGAAATAGACGTCACATGATGCAAGCAAAAACAAACATTATAAAGTGTCAATCAAATGATAGGTTTTACAAAAAAAAGGCGATCCAAATCAGATTTTGTTCAAAAGACGAAGCAGCCCTATCAATTAACTCTCAAAAACCAGGATATTTTTAGACCACAGAAATCATCCCTCAAACAGTTTAGACTGATGATGTTCATTGATTTGCCTTGAAAATTGAATGAAGTAGACACTCTACAAAATTTGATCTGAATTTTCCCATGCAAATGAAGTGGGTTCTATTTTCTATACCAGTTAAAATATACACGAGAAAAATACTCAACAGTAAGTGAGTGGCAGTTTAAAACTTTGCCGTCAGTAAAATCGCTCCCCTCCCTTCAAAGTCCGGAAAGATAACTATTTACTCTCAAAACTTGAAAGAAAATTAAGTCGTCCGATATAAAATCTGCGTGACAACGTTTACAGGAAAAGTGACCATGCGTTTGACATTTTTCAGCCGTTCACTTTTCAACTTTTTTGCTGAGTTTTTAATATCCGGTTTTGGAATCAGACTTATCCTACCATCTTCATTTTTCGACCTCATTTTGCGCGATTGGACGAGAGAAAAAGGTTTAGAAGGGGGTTTCCTGTGGTCAGAACAGGATGTAAATTGAACGACTTTTTTTTCTCTCCCTTTTCAACTTTCACCCTCAAGGGCAATGCGCTTGAGTGATATGAGCGCCCGATTAAGTGATGCAACTTCATTTCCTTTTCATGGCTAACAGAAAAGACATCTCAATCATAACAGTTATAGATTTTTTTTAAAAATCATTTCATATTTCGAATACACAATCTCACTGATCTGTTCAATTCTTAACATTAATGCCATTTTACAAGCTACAAAATATGCATATCGACGGTGTAAGTCGGCAATCACATAACTCGTTTGCGGTGTCTGAAAATCTCCGCTTCTATGATATTTATTTTAAAGGAGAACAAATTGACATCATTCCTTGAAGTTTATGCAGAATTTTCCTCGCACTGAGGAGAAAAATAACGGCAGCTTTAAAGAATTGCCGTTGGGTAGTTTTCCGTTTAAAAAATAAAGTATGACAGGAAGTCTGCGACGTCGCAAACCGAGTTATGTGATTGCAGACTTACACCGTCGATATGCATCTTGAAAATTACACAAAACTAAAAACTTATAGCAAAGTTCAAACAATTTAAACGCAAAGTGTTTTTTTTTTTTTTTTTTTTTTTTTTTTTTTTTTTTTTTTTTTAATAATCATTATTAACGTGTAATATTTTCTCAGAATAGGAGTAAAATCATTTCTGTGCAGTATCTCAGCATTGCTTATGGAGAAGGCGAAAAGGGTGAATTTTTTAGGATTCTGAGTTGAAACGCATAATGTCACAGAATGAGCCATGGATAATAGAACTACAATTTGTAATCAGAGTCTAGAATTTCTGGTTCTTTTTAGAAACGGCATACGTGTCATTGGTTTCCCCGTGCAGATAGGCGTTTTTAAGAATGAGCCAGAAATTGTGGTTCCTGCTGGCAAAATGTGGTCTAATTATTATCACCCGATACTTAATAAATCTGTAATTGAGAAAGATCAATAGCCTTTTCAAAATATATGTTTGCGTATTTCACTGAAAGTTTCTTTAACTAAATAAAAATGTAAAAGTGTTTTTGAGGTTGCTTGATTTGAAGAGAACAGATGAAAGAGATTAAAAACTTTAAAAATCGGAAGTGTCAAGAACGCAACTGTGAAAATCCCAAACCACGTACCTCGGTTTACGATGTTGTATAGACTTCCTTTCATAAGAGTACTTTGCTTTTTACATGGAGAACTACTCAACGGCAATATGATTTTTTTCTTCGATACGAGGACAATTCTGGGAAAACGTCGAGGATTAATTTGGATTTTTTCTCTTCTATAAAAATAAAACAGTAGCGGATATTTTAAAACACCGCAATCGAGATACAAGGTTCGGAAGTTTTACCGTTTTAGTTACCGTCGTTATCTGCATGTTTGAATCGGCCGATTAGAATCGAAATCTCTGTGCATGCATAGAGACAGGTTATTTTCAACCGAAGAGGAGCAGAAAAGCAAATAAACAAGCAAACTTGTTGAGGTTAATTATCAAATCATGTTTTTTTGTTCGTCTGCTTGTTTGATTATTATTTTTTTTCGCCGAGGTACAGGGGAGCCGACACGATGGTCGGAGTCTGGAGCTAATCCGAGCGCGGGCGAGCTTGATTGACAATCGCCCATTAATGCAACAAAATGTTAATCCGTGGCATTTCATCAAGGCTAGCATAGGTCGGAAATCCAAATCCAGATATCCCTGGGGATGGGCCGCGTGCAATTTGTAGGCCCGATTTACCGATGCTCGCACACGCGGGCTGGGGTTAACCCTTCACCCGCGAGTCGGCACAGTGGATCGAGTCAATTAGAGAGGTCGGACATGTAATTTTTGACAAAAAATGCTAATTTTGATGTTTATTTCGTCACATTTTAAAGTTCAAGGGGCGTTACTGGAATACAATTTAACGAGGAAATCAATGGCACCACTTTTAGAACCTCAAAGTTTTGTATATAAACGGAGTTAAAAGCTTTTAAAGTTTTCAAATGTTGTCCGACCTCTGCCATTGACTCGACCCACTGTGCTGCGTCCGCGTGCACACAGCCTAAAGTGGAGTGGGCAGCGCTGCACTCGGAAATGCATAGACACGCCGCAAAAAGTACAAAATGTAAAACAAGCCTTTTTTTAAACTACTTTCCCCCGCCGAACCGAAACAAATTGATAATGACGATAGCTGCGCGCCCCGCGAGGCTGACGGGGGAGGGGGTGGCGAGAGATAAAATCAGGGGCTATGATTGATTCGTCGACGGATATAGAGAGTGGGTCGATAGACAAAAGACCTCGTCGCCTGGCTATGATATATTATTGACACGTTGCGTCGCGGGCTGCATAGCCGGCGAGGCGCCCGACGCATCGCTGACGTCCCGAGTATGACTCCTATTCATGTAAATAATGGTTGTGTCACTCATCCTTTCAACCTATCGACACTTGCTGGCCAATTCTGCTGTCCACCCGCGGACCAATACTCGCTAATTATTCTGCATTCAGCTACAGCTCTCACGACCAGAACAGCCCCCCATCCACCTCTGACAATAACTTCTGCAATTGACTCGCTTTGTTCCAGTATACATGCAGCTTCATAATCAGAACGGATCTGCATGGAAAATGTCTCATTGAAGCAAACGCGCCGTGCGAGTTTGTTTTTGAAACGAAAAAAGGCCGGTTTTAAATTTTTCATTTTTTAATTTTAATTTTTTATTGTGATGAATCCACTGTGACGTTTTTTCAATTTTCGATTACTTTTTCTGATAGCAATATTAACACGATTTTCTACCACCTTTGCAAATTGTACGGCAAGTGAAAGTGAAAGTTGTGAATTGTCTTTTTTGTAGATTCAATGGATTTTGCAAAAAGGAGCCCAAGAGCATCCCAATGTTGCTAGGTGCAACTTACATACTTTGCAATAAAATTACAAAAATCACAAAAATCACGCAAAAATTTAAATTTACAAAGGTTATTTTTTTTTGAATTTACAGTTGATAGGGAGTAAGGATAAACATTGTTTAGATGATCAGTTTATGTTTGCGGGGTAAACAAAGTTACAAAATCTTAGCGACATTGGAATGCTTGTGCGGTTCTTTTCCGCGAAATGGAATCCAAATTCAAGAGACACAATGACATTATGGGAGGCACAGTCTCACGAAACTCTTTCATCAGCATTTACGTGCCATTCTTGAAAAAACTGTGAGCGAATGTGATGATACCCTCCGGATCTCATCATACCGACGCACGCAAGTTAATATATTACAGTGGGCCCTGAACTCAGGAATGTCCCTCAACGCATCCGTGATGTCGTTCTGCGCCGGAGTCCGGAAAACCCTCACATTTACAACTGCTGCTTAAAATTTTTACCCAGATATTGAAGGGATCCCTCCAATTCCAGGACTTAATTAAACCCTGCGCCGCGACGTTTGTAGGCGGACGAATGATCCCTGCAAATTCGAAATTGCAAGTCCGCGCCTGACAGTCTCAATAAAAGGAGATGTTTAAGGCCGCCTCCTTCCTCGCGCTCAAACATAATTACTGCCATGCTAAGGAAAAACGCCGTATGATCGTTTGAAAGTTGCCACATTTCCCCAGATAAAAAGTGTATTTTTGATGTTTTATCCTTATTTTTCCTCAAGAATTTCAGATATTTTAGATTTGATTCTCAGGAAAATGGCCAGAAAATTCGGGAGAAAAATGGACTGAGTTAAGCAGAAAGGAGCCAACCCACATTTTGAAAAAAATTGAGTTAAGGGTGGTTTTGAACTCAACCACTGCTCTACTATCTATTGCCAAAAATTTAAATTTTTTGTTGGAGCAAATTTTGCAGAAAAAGAACTTGCAGTTTATCTTTTACATTGAGTCTTATGCAGGAGCCAAACTTTAAATCTCTTTTTCTCGGTTCGATCCCGATGTGGCTTGGTTCCTCTCTGTTTAACTCAGTCCAAATATTCATAATTTTCCCAAAAAAGTCGCATTCCATTAGATGAAATTTGGCACCGCCTGAAGGCTCATACGGCGTTTTCCTTTAGTACGGCCGATCACCAGGGAGGATGGCAGAGCAAAAAGTAAATTCATGAATTCTCCGGGCGGGTCCGACGTAAAAAACGCACATTAAGGCTCCGGGGCGATGAAAAAATCGAACATAAAATTTAATTAAGAAATTCAGCGAAACGCTTGATATCCTGCATCTGTGTTTTTTATCTTAGGTCCATACCGAAGGGGTTAAATTATTAAAACCGTCCCGGGATTATCTGGAGTCCGCCGCAGACGGGAGGAAGAATTAATTACTCAAGTTTGCACACCTTACCCGCTGAC